CTCTAGCTCAGGCTGGTCTCAAACTTCTGTGCTCAGGCGATCCACCCACCTCGGCCTCTCAGAATGCCTGGATTACAGGTGTGAGCCTCGGAGCCAGGCCGCATACATTATCTTATTAAACCTCCACAAAATAAGTAGGTATTACCACTCCAATAAGGCTTTTGCCCGCTAGCTAAACTATACGCCCCCAGGTGAACTTCAAATGCAACAGGGCACTCAATGCAGTCATAAAATTTAAGCCGGCACAGAAAAAAACCTCAGTAATCAAGATGAATAACATTTTAGTACTTTATTTTTTAAAATCAAAATCAATGCAAAAAATTCCATAAATAATAAAACATCACAATTTAAAATAAAGGCAGGCTCCACCTCCTACTTCTGAGCCCCATCTAAACCCCTCACTTGGCAGTGGAATTGAGTGACTTCGAGAACTAAACGTCTTGTACTTCCTGTTCGTGCTACATGAGAGGGCGAGCGCAGGTTCAAAAACTGGAACCATTCTCCCCACTCCCCTTTATTCCAGAGCAGTAGCGGGCCCTGCACCAACAGCCGGCGCTTTTGGAAAAGTCTGTGAACCGGAGTGCTTGTGTCCGTGGGTATGTTGCACACGTGTTGCATGCGTGCTTCGAGTCTTGCTTCTGAGTACTGCCTTTGAGGACGCACACTGAGCTCGGACTTTGCGCTTGCAAAGACAAGAGCTTGGGCTGAGCGTGAAACAAGCTCAGAATTCCTTCTTGCCCAAGTGGTAGGTGGAGCGCAACTCTTTCTGCCGCCTCTAACCGAGAAAGGAACACATCACTCCCTGCGAGCTAGGAGGGTCATCAGAACCTACATCAGCAGTCTAGCACCCCTCGAACCACCTGTCCGCAGTGATGGGAAGGAGAGAGACCAGAGCCCAAGAGAAGGCTAACCAAAATACAGAGTAGGCGGAGAGGGCAGAGGAGCGTCTCCCTTCTCTCCGCCCCGCCTCTTTTCTAGGCTCTGGCCAACCGCCGCGCGCTCCGAGCCTTGGCCCCGCCCCTCCGTGCCTCCCGGCCTGCGGCTCCGCCCAGGCCGGTAATAATTAGCCTGCGGGCGGGGTATTCCGCGTCAGCGCGAGACTCCGGCCAATCCCTGCGCTCTCCCCCGCGGTCACGTCACAGGCCGAACAACCAAACAGAAAAGTTTAATAAACAGCGGACTGAGGGGCCGACGGCGGCGGGGCCGGAGCGAGCAGGGGTTCGGCGGCCTCACCTGTCCCCATTCACCGGCGGCGACCGGCGGCGGCGGGCAGCGCGTCAGGCGGACAGAGCCGCCGCCAGGTGAGAAGCTCGGCCCCAGGGGCCCGGCCGGCCGGGTGCTGCCCCTCCCCCGCCCGCACCCTTCCCCCACCGGCTGCGACCCGCGAGGCCCGCCCCCGGCCCCTCCTGGCGCAGGCGAGACGGAAGCCGAGGGCTGCTGGCCGGCGCAGCAGGTGGCGGGCCACTCGCTCGCTCTGGCCCTGGGCCGGTGTTTGGGAAAGGGCAAGGGCTGTTGGGCAAGGGACGCGGCGGGGCGCGCTGGGCTTCCTCAGACGCGTGCGGGGCGCCCGCGGTCCTGGGCCGGCTTCTCGTCTCCGGCGTCCGGACCCGCACTGCCTGGGGGCCGCGGAGGCCGCCGGGACCCCGTTCCGAGCAGTTGGCGGTGGGGTCAGCGGGGCTGAGGCACCCACGGGCGCCTCCCCGCCCCGCCTCCCCGAGGCTGAGGTCCTGTTTGGAATGTTTTTCCACTTTCTGTGTTTTCAGAAACTAGGTGCGGGGCGGGAGAGGGGGCCCAGCGGGACAGACTCCCTTTGGACAAGGGACACGAGACGAACTGTTTCCCCTGTTGGTGTTTGGTTTGCTCAGGATTCTGAATTTTCTTTCTGCTCTTTTGGAATAGTATTTTCAAGTTTTTGTCCATCGATACGTAAACAAACAGAAGAATATTGCGTTGGAAGTCTTTTAAAACATTTTTTAAAAATTATGTGCTGCCTACAGTTAACACGCTGTGACTTGCCTTCACAACTCGGAAGTTACTAATGTGAAGTTTGGGCCTTGAGGTTACGGGGCAAAATGAGTGATTTTGATGCTCCCAGGAGCAAGATTAAATTTCTTTTTCAAGCAAAATCTGGAATTTGATTCTTTAGTGTAAAATGCCATAAACTTTTCAGGTGAACTATGTAATAATTACGTCAGCAGTTTTGTGGCGCTTTCTGCATTACATATAGTCTTCCGGGTCTTCAAGGAAAATGTTCTGCAAAATGTGCACGTTTAAATTTCCAAAACAGGTTATGTTTAATTTCTTTTATGTCTTAAAATATTTTTAAGGGGAGCAGGGACCGCAGATGTACAAGGGAAAGTATAAGGGTTAATGGATTATGTTGATTGTAGTGATAATTTCCTGTGTGGAGACAGATGTCAGAACTTACACAGTTTACACTTTAAATATGTGCAATTTATTGTACGTCAACTATAGCTTAAAAAGTTTTTAAAAAGCAACCAAAACATTTAATGCCACAAAAGAATACAAAACACCATATAGGACAAAGAGAAAATATTAATTAAAAAAATCGGTGAACTCCTCCCTCCAAACCCAAAACTGGAATACTACCAAAACTCGCATCTGCTATGAATTTCTTACCTGTCCAGTGGATTTTGTGTCTTATCATTCCTTTGCCTTTTACAAAAATAGTTTTGTCACATGCATTTGTATGCTCACTGTGGTGTTTAGTTTTCTTTTGAGCATTATACAAGTAGTATATGACTAGTTTATTCATTTCATTGCTTTATAATGTGTTAAACTGCCATAAATTGCAGTCATTTAGATCATATTTTTTTTTCGATTTTGTTTTGCTTTTACCAGTGTGTGCTATATGAATATTTTTTGTTTCTGGCTGTTAGTGCACACGTGGTATGCAAGAATTTCTCTAGAGTAACTACTTAATATGAATTACATTAGAAAGTTTTAGGTAATTAGGAGGAAAATAGGTTGAAATACTTAGAAATAAAATGAATGAAAAACACTAGGATCTATTATGTTTAAATGAAGGATTCATAACCGTAGTGATTGGTCCTAGTTATTGAACATTTGCATAGGAAACCAAGATTCCTATTAATAACGCATGTAATTAGTCTTTGAAATCATGTGGTAAAATGTCTGGCACTATTTGGTCTCTCTCTTTTTTTTTTTTTTTGCAGTTTTTGGCCGGGGCCGGGTTTGAACCCACCACCTCCGGTATATGGTGTCAGCGCCCTACTCCTTTGAGCCACAGGTGCTGCCCTCGTCTCTGTTTTTGATGCAAAAGTAGTGTAATAGAAAAAACACTGGATTATATTTATAACAGGTCACTCCTCTGTTGTCCTCACTCCCCTCCCTTAACTTCTTCCAGCCTCAGGAGTAAATCCAGTTCCACATAAGTATACTCATGTGAAAAGAGTAAGTTATCTCCTAAGTTATCTATCCAGTTTGGCTGTGACTTTACTCAAGGGAAGCACCTGTCAAGTGGCAAACCCTTTTAGAGAAAGCACTAGGACTGAGGTGCATATTCTGTGGAATTATATATTATGTGTCCTTTGAAACATTTTTGGAGAATGATGTTTGGTGGGTAATTCAAGATTTTTAACCATACATTTAAGTAGTTTTTAGATTTGAGGTAGCTCAAAGGTGTGCTTTCAGAGCAAGCTGTTTTATCATATTAACAGCAGTGCAGTGACAAATTAGGGCACGGTATTTCCTTAATATCCTGAAGATGGTGTATGTGTACCAAATATGAGTTTGTGTATAGCTTTGAAAATCTGTTTTTGTTTGAAGGCAGTAGGGATTGTTTTCATTTTTTTATATGTGTAGTTTGCAAACAGATATCAGGATGCTTTATTTTGGTAAGATTATGTTCTACTTTTAAAAAATCATTTTTTGTAATCAAGTATAAGGATAATTGTGTAGTTTTTTCCTCCAGACTTTGAGGAGGAATAGAAAGTTATAGAGAAAAGCCATCTACACCACCACGATAGATAACCATTGTTAACATTTTTTTTTTTTTTTTTTTTGACAGAGTTTGGCTTTATACTCACAGCAACCTGCCTCAGCCTCCCAAGTAGCTGGGACTACAGGTGCCTGCCACAATGCCCAGCTATTTTTTAGAGATGAGGTTTCACTCTGGCTCAGGCTGGTCTTGAACTTGTGAGCTCAAGCAGTCTGCCTGCCTCGGCCTCCCAAGTGCTGGGATTACAGGTGTGGGCCACCTTGCCTGCTCCAGACATTTTCCTTTTTTAGACTGTCTTCATAATCTAGCATGTATTTTCCACTTACAGTGTATCTCAGGTCCAACTAGCTGCGTTTCAAGTGCTCAGGAGCGACATTTGCGTAGTGGTTGCTGAGTTGGACGGTGCTACTCTAGGTTTCCAGGCCCTACCTGCATTTACACAGCTCCTTTTCCTCCCCACTTTCCAACTCACACATCTGCCGCTATCCTGATCTTTTTGGATTTCTTGAGCACCTCAAGCTTATTCCCTTAAAATTGTTCCTTCTGCCTGGACTGCACAATCATTTTTTTTTTTTAAAGTAAAATCTATCCAAAATTATTTATTCAATTATTATCTGTTTCCCCTCTATATCCCTGCTTGAATGTGAACAGTTTGAGGTCAGGGGTTTCCTCATGTTTATTACTAGATCTTCCTGTAAAAATGTGATTTTTAAAGGGTATGTTCTCGTTTTATGAAAGTACTATACTTTAACTAGTCATCTATTAGGTATAACTTGTGTACTTTATCATTTTTTTCATGTTATTATAGTTGTGTGAAGGTCTTTTTAAGAGCTACTACTACTTTTTATGTGTTTCTCATTTCTTTAGGATTAAGTTTTAGTCTTAGAATCAAAGCATATGAACATTGCTTCAAGTCTCATTGCCAAATCTCATTCTTAAAAGTTTGACAGACATTATAGTATAAAGTTTGACAACAAATATGAGAAAATAGACATTTTTTAAATTATTTATTTATTTAGAGATAAGGTCTTCCTCTATTACCCAGGCTGGAACGGGGCTGGGGGCTTGCTGTAGCCTCAAACTCCTATTTCAAGCAATCTTCCTGCCTTAGCCTCTATAAAAGCTGGGACTATTAGCATTTGCAACTATATCCAGTTATGAATTTCTCTTTCCTGCTTTCCTTTACTTTCTTCTCTTTTCTCTCTTCTTTTTCTTTTCTTTCTTCTTATCTTTCTTTTTTTAGGAATAGGGTTCACTATATTACCCAGGCCGCTTTGGAACTCCAGGATTCAAGTAATCCTTTGGTCACTGCCTCCAAATTTGTTGGGGTTATAGGCACGAACCACTGCATCCAGCTCACATGTCCTGTATATTTTTACCAGCATTAATATCTTTTTTTTCTTTTAGGACAAAGTGAGACTTTGTAGACTTGGTAGAGTGCTTTGGCATCATAGCTCACAGCAACTTCAAACTCTTGTGCTCAAGTGATCCTCTTGCCTCAGCATCTGGAATAGCTGGGACTACAGGTGCCCTCCACAAGGCCCAGCTATTTTTAGAGATGAGGTCTTGCTCTTGCTAAGGCTGGTCTCTAACTATACCCACCTCTGCTTCCCAGAGTGCTAGGATTACAGGCGTGAGCCATTGCCCCAGACCACTAATGCTAATATCCACCCATCTGTCCATCCTTCTTTCCTTCCTTTTTATGGGATTTACTACATTTTTTTTTGATTAATTATGGTAAATAGAGATAAAGATATTGGCTATCTTCTAGTTTGCTTTTTGCCCATTTTGGCTGGTGTTTTATATTTTTGTGATACCCTTTTTAGCATTTGGATAGCAACTCTTTGACATATACTACAAATATTTTTCCTAGATCTTTATTTGCCTTTTATTTGACCACAGTGGTTTTTTCTTTACTCTTTCTCTCTCTCTTTTTTTTAAACATGCAGGATTTTTTACTTTTTAAGAAATGTAGGTTAATTCTATGGCATCTACTTTGCTTTTTACATTTAAAGCATTCTGCTAGCTGGAAAACTTTTTTTCTAGTTCTCTTACGGTTTCATTTTTCACATATATCTGTTTTTGCTTATCTGGGATTTATTTTGACATACTATGTGAAGTGAAATAACTTCACTTAATTTTCCTTAGTAACCAATTATTTCAGCCTCATTAAAAAAAAATTTTTTTTTGTTGCCTTGAAGTAAAGCCACATTTATTATATGCTAAATGTACATATACTTGGTTCCTTGTAGGTTTTATTGAAATACTGATGATTTGGTACCAGTGCACCCTTGTGTGCAACTAGGCTTCATGTTTTTA